CGCGGGATACGGGAAGCCTGAAAGCCCGGAGAGGAGCGTGCCAAGGGGCTCCCAGCGGGAGACGCGGGTCCAGACGCCTCCATGCCTTCGTGCCTGCCCACAGCCGTGAAGCGGGTACAGCCAGACCTATCGACCTCACCTTGTCACTCTGTACGAAACTTGTGTCTGGAAGGGAGAAGCCGATGTCTGTTGGTCCGTCTGCCCACCGCAGTGATGGGCGTTTGTTCGAAGGGCCGGGTGGCAAGGCATTCCTTCAGCCACCAGCCAGCAAGTCATTCCTGCACAGATCTGGGAAGGACCTCATCCCTGTACACAGAGCCGGAGAGACGGGACAGTTTGCTCTGTGTTGCCGTGTGGGGCTGAGAGCAAAGTGATGCGGTAGCGGCAGTGCCCAGCAGGGAGCTTCGTCTGCAAACTCCTAGTGGTTCGCCGGCTATGGACCAAGAGGGCACATTCTGCCCGGACGGCCTCCCCCGTGCTGGAGGAGGCCCCGCAGAGTGAGGGGAGCAGCCCGGGCACGTCCCAGTGCGGCGCTAAATGTACCCTCGTATCTAACACTGCTAACACTTTCTGACGCAGCAGCCCGTCCGTCCCTCGTCAACCTCTGGCTCCCCTGGGCCGCCAGCCCGCGTGTCCCTGAAAGGGAGGACGCCTCCAACGGCCGGAGCCCCCAGGGCCTGGATGAAGTCATTTGTGTCCACCCACGACTGGCAAACAGCGCTGGGCCGGAAGCACTAGTGTTAGTGCAAGTAACCGCGAGAGGCTGGCGTGAGTTCCGAGGGTGACCAGGCAGGAAGGGGAGATGGGTTCTCGGGCTGGCATCCCCGAGGGACTGGCATTTTGAGGGGTTCCTGCGGGTTCCTCTGGGTGGTAACTTCGGCTCCGGGCGACCTGATGCCCGCACAAACGTTTGTCTGAGAAATCCTGGTGTGGTTGGGGGCCTGATGCATTCTGATTGGAGGCCCAGGGCACACCGCAGCCCCCGGGGCCCAGCTGTGCTCGGTGGAGGAGCTTCTGGTTTTGGACGCCCCTGGTGGGAGCTCAGGGAGCTTCTGTGTGGTCCTGGGTGTGTAGCCAGGCACCCAAGGCCAGCAGGACACCCTGCGCCCCCGCCCACCTGCCCGCCCTTCCCTTCTTCATGTCCCAGGATGCTGCCCAGAGCCCCTGGGCATTGGCTTCACACAGCAGCTGCGATGGGAAAGGAAGTTAGAGCCTCGGCCAGAGCAGGTCTCCCCACCGTCAGCCGTGAACGGAGGCCGGCGAGGCTGAAGGGTTAGCAGAGGGGACGACACGTAGGGTCGCTGCGGGGAGGCCTGTGTGCGGACGTCCGTGTAGCACGTCAGGACAGGCATCTGGGAAGAGTAGGTCCGAGTCCCTGTCGTAGCACTGGCTCGGGTGGCTGACCCTCTCTGACTCTGCTCTGTGGGCCGGTTTTCCTTCCTTCACGAGACTCTTGTGAGCCCGAGAGGTGATGGGCTGGGTCCCGGGGCCAGGGCAGGGCAGTCCTGCCCTCCGTGCCTTGTACAGTCTCCGTGATGGCGAAGCTGACGCTCAGGAGTGCTTCCCGTGTCCCAGGCGTAGTCCTATGTCCAACGTGTCCCTGCTGGCCGGGCCAGGTCAGGTCACA